TTTTGTAAAAAAAAAAATCACTAAAGAAGAAAAAATTTAAGAAGAAACACAAAATAAAAAACTGATATATTTTTATATTTCTTGTGTTTAGTAAACATTTGTTTGATTTTAAATAAATATTTTCATTGTACGGTTGTCAATTTTTTTCCTGACAAACTAAAAATTAATTTAGTGATAAAATGAAAAAAAATAAGAAAGTCCAAATTGAGAATGATATTAGGTGATAATTCAAGGGGATAAAGTATAATTTTTCCAATTGATGAAAGGGCATTTTAATCATAAAGGTTCAAATTGAAGAAAAAAAAATTTAATAGATGAGGGAGGTTAATTGTTATAATTTTTAGATGAGAGGTGTAAAGTGATACGAGACAATAGTTAGAAGGGGAAAAGTGTATTTTACCCTTTTACATTTGTGGTAATCAACTTTACAAATGTTATAATTTGCATATATAGACTTTACCATGTCTATGCTATTATATAAACATAAATGGTGTTGGACCTTTCAGATTGAAACTCTCAATATTTTTTTCTCAAATTTTAAAAAATTTCACTTATCAGTATATCTTACAATGATTGATTGGAAATTATTTTTTTCTCTTTAGTTAAAATTTGTAATTTGTTCCTTAAATTAATATCATTAAGATTTGTTCCTTAAATTATGTTACTATATTTGCAATGTAATACATTTTTTTATAGAAACTTATATTGGTCTAATCAATGTAATCAAAGTTGTTAGAATCACTCTTACTAATTTTTGAAAATCAATATAAAAAAATAAAATAAGTCTATTAGCCAAAACATGTTATTTTGAAGTTAAAATCTCATACTAAAAATGTTAAATTTTAAGTTATAAAATAGATTAAAAGAATATATTGGTTAAAAATATATATATTTATAAAAAAATGTATCCATTTTTGTTTTTTAGCTTTGTTATAGTTTTATGGCTCTATCTTTATTCTTTGCAATTCAGTATTTATTATCTCTTTTTTCAAATCATTTGAACACCAAGAAGAATGTGAAGAGTAACGAGATTGCATTAACTTTGGCATGCAACATGTATGTTTTTTTAATAAAATGCTGTTTTTATCTTTGGTTAAAAAAAAGTTTATAAAACTTCAAAAACTATTTCAAAAAATTTAAATACTATCCGACATGTTAATTTCTATTGTTTAAAAAGAACAAAGGCAAAATAAAAACCATACGAAACCAAAAAATATATAGTTCGTCCAAATGCTATTATGATGAGCAATGAGTAGGGCTGGACATGAGGTTATTCGACTCACAAAAATCGCCCAATCTAAACTGCCCATACCTATTTGGGTGGTTTCGCATAATCATTAGGATCAGATACGGGTTAGGATTTCCCTGTTTTGCGGATTGCGGGCGGGTCACGGGTTTTACCTGCACCCATACTCACTCACTGCATCTGTATACATTGTTTAGCTTATATCTTTTCTACAAGTGAATGTGAGTCAATTGACTGATCTTGCCCTGTTATGGTATGTTTCCTTCTGGAAGTGAATTGGATAGATAAGCTATAATTTATTTGGAATAAATCATTTAGAAAATAATGATTTCATGATAAGAAATATGTGATTTTATGGCCCAAAATAATATTTAAAAATTTGGGAGGAAAAGCCCAAAAAGAATGTTTAAAAAATAAAAAAAAATAAAAAAAAACAAGCCCAAAAGTAAAATTTTAAAGGAAAAGCCCAATCTGCAAACTATCCGTAACCACCAGCACATCTGCGAACCCTATCTGCACAAACTGCAATCCGTATTGCGAGCGGTTGTGGATTCAATTTTTTTCAAACCATAGACATGCAGATGAGTTTAGACCGCAAACTGAACCGTCGAAAATTGATCCGCGAGTATCCTTAGAAATGAGATCCAAAAAAAATTGTTACCTCTATAAAAGATTCATATACGAGATATAAATATTTAGGGTAAATTATTAGGAGTGTTTGTAATTTTTAGAACTATAAAAGGTAATTTATATTTTAAGCAAATCTCATAAATTGTATTTGTGATTCCCCTTTAAGTAATATAAATGTTGATTATGAAAAGCATTAAACCTATATTTGTTCAATAAATTTATTTTTAAATGTTAAATTAGGTTATCAGACTACCTCTAAATAAAATATCTTTGAAGTAATTCATTATGTTCATAATTCATAAATTTTATACAAATTCAACATGTATCTTAAGTCTATGATAACAGTAATGTGGAAGCTATTGTAGAGCGGATGTTAAGATTCAAATCTCAACCACTATTAATAAATTATAGACAAAATATCAAATATCAACATATTTTTCAGTTGAAATATCTTTTAAACCTTTTTTTTTTTTTTTCAATTCCATGCATATATAGCACGGGTAGGCTTCCAAAATAACGGAATTTACCACCATACATGAGAAACCATGGGAATGAGGTTGGTGTTATTTTTTATAGGCATAGTACTGTGTTGTGAACCGTGAAAGCATGTTTAAATTTAGTTTAATAATCTTGTTGGATAGATTATTTATGAAAAAATTTAAATTAGGTACACATTTGTGACCCACAAGACCAAGTTTATATTTTAAAAAATAAATGATTAGTATGATTATAATATTTTTTTATAATTATTATTCATTATGATCATACTTGTCTAATTACTTTTTTTTTATTTTATATAAATCTTAGAATACGAACGATTCAAATTATTAAAAACCTCCTGCGTGAAACAGCATGGCCACTATCACAGCATCCAACGCGGATCCGAGAAACCATGAGGAGAATAGTTTCCCTAAAATATTTCAGTCCTACATACCATCCCTCCATAAATAATTATTCTAAAATCAAAGGAGAAAATTACTACATAAAATAATATATTAAAAATCATCAAAACGAGAGTAGCTTCTTGTTTATTTTATTTTAAACAATAATCGTATTAACCAGTGTTATCAGTATACTTATTACCAAATCTAAAATAATTATACATATACTTCATAAAAATATATGTAAAAAAATATAATAGTTTTAAGGTTGGCTAATAATACTCGTTAACAAAACTTATGAAAAACAACATATGATTAGAAATAATTTGATTATTTTTTAAGATAAATTTTACTTTACCTCTTGCGATTTAGTTCATGTATAGATTATTCATGTGGGTGTTGATTTCCGACCACACAATCAAATAGGGAACTTAGTTGTAGAGCATGCAGCAGAATAGATTAAGCCAACCACCTGTCAACAAGCAGATGAGAATACTGCGGTGGTTCGTCCACCAGGGGGCACTCCGACGCTCAAGTCAGTCACTTATCTCATAAGATATCATCAACTCAAATCAAGAGCTCACAACATAATCACATCACAAATAAAAGCATATCTTAGACCTACGGAGTGCCTCACTTTTATAATAGTCAGTGTCCAACTTCCCCTAGAAGTCTTATTTCATCGGACTTTATCCTTTATAAGGATAACATCTATCACAACTCACAATATTTAGATTAAGATGAACTTTCTCAAGAGTCTCATCTCTATCCAAATAGGTAGTTTGATGTCATCTAGGACTCTAATCTTCTATCCAAATATTTCGGATTCTGGTATTACTGCACCATGGTCCGCCCATGTGGGACCTCGGCTAACAACCTCGGCCACGTAGATTACCCAAAAATATGTCCCATAACTGCCTCCTGGGTTCTATTACCTTGGCAACCTGAGGTGATGGAACCTACATTGTTACATCTTCCAACATGTCAACTAAACAACATGCCAGATATACTTTTCCGACCAAAATTATGACTCGCCGACGTAAAGAAACAAGGACTTAAATGTCCACTCGTCAAGAATCAAGAACCAAAAACCATCATGTTCTATCTCATCCAGGTCCAACATCTCGACAGAGATCGCACTACTAACAGAGATCATGACTTGCTAGTTTAAGAACATCAAGATCCCAGTATCAACTCATAAGGAACCAAGAACAAACAAGTTCTGTCCCACCCAAATTCAACATCTCAACTGAAATCATCATCTCAACCAAGATCAACATCTTAACCGAGATCATCATGTCAACCAAGATCAATCATCTCAACTGAGATCAACATCTCAACTAAGATCACACTACTAGCCAAGATCGTAACTCGCTAGTTCAAGAACATCAAGATTCGAAAGCTGTCATCTCAACAGTCATCATGACGTGTCATCTCTTCATTGGTTTCCAATACGTCCCACAATTGATACACCCCACCTCCTTAGACGTCACCTCACATTAGCTATCACACGTCTCCCAAGAAACTTAAATCATTACAATCTGTCACCTCTTTCCATTCCAACAAAACCTTTTCACTTTCCCATTTTGTCTCTCTCTCTCCCTCTCTCTCTCTCTCTTTCTCTCTCTCGGCCTCTGCAAACCATCATCGTTGTTCTTGAAGCATTCATTATTATGAATACTTCATTCGTACCCAAGGTTCAAACTCTACCAGTTGAACCAAACTAGCAGCCAAGCACTTCATTAGCTGCTCCACTCATCAATCCACCATCACAATGGTAGTGCAAACATCGACATAACGACAATCTTGCAGCTAGAACCAAGAACAGGAAGACCTTGATAATTCTCTAATCGCCCTATCAGCGAGTGACCATCGTCGTAACCAATGAAGACATGTCTCGTCGAACTCTTGTCATAAAAGACCTTCTTACTGACATCCCTGATGTCATAACTGTGCAATCCACTCCATCTCCTTATAGTTAACCCAACATGCTCATGCCTCTAGCAACTCAATATCTCGGAAGAGAAACACATAAAGCAAGAGGACTAAGTTATTGCTACCAAAACCGAGGCCATTACTAATGCCGCTAAAAAGAAAGCTGTCAAAGTTGAGAATAAACTCGCAGTGTCATTAACTAGCAAGGAACAGACGCCAAGGCCTACTATGAGGGGTAGGTCGATGTACGGAAAGCATACAAAAAACAAGTCAACATGGCTTGCAACAAAGGCTACTATCACGATTAGATGGCAGCCCTCAAAAAGTTGTTGGTCTCCAAGGACTCACCCCTCCGCGACATCGGTCAACTCAATGTCCCTTTCTCTCACTCTCCCAATCAATCTGAGGATGAGGCCGAGGAAGCAGAAGAGGCCAACGACGAGGAGGCCGAAGACAAGAAAGAGACCAAGGCCAAGGTTGCAAAGAAAGAATCTGAAGCTGCTGTTAGGGGAAAGTCCCCTACTCTAAATGATCAAATCCTAGACTTGACTGAGGAGGATGGGGATGAGGTCTCCAAAAGCACCTCACCAAAGAAGGTTAACACTTCTGAAACTGAGATCACTACTGCTACAAAGAGCCTGGACATCGACACCGAACTCACAACCAAGAAGTCTGCCCAACTGTCTGCCGAGACCAAAACAATGCCAACAGCTGAGATCAATGCACCAGATTCTAGTACTTAGGAATTTTTCTTTCCATTATACTTTTTTCTTTGTAGTTGTATTTTCTTCTCTGTTTTGTCGGGCTGATGTGCCTGAACAAGCTGTCTCTTTTCAATACAAGTCTTCTCCTTTCTTCTAAGTGTTGAATATTGCTTTCATGTATGCTTTCTATATCTTCTTTGTCTCGTATGTTTCCATACTTATATTCTTTGAAATACTTCTAAGTACAACTTACTTGAATAATCACCTCGAATAAGCATACCCCAGATATAAATCATCTCAGAGTGACATATCTCGGAAAACAACTCGTGTCAATTTATGTCGACAGAATAGCACTTACAAAAATTTTTCAATAATTTTTTACAAGTGTTGTTTCTTCACTTGTACTTACTATCTTCTAACAAGACTTCACTGTAGACACCCCATTTTTGACCGACCTTAAGACTCGGACGTCATTGATTGAGCGCTCGATGATTGTGCATGTTGTGCTCGTTTTGAGGTTTTGGAGTTCTTGGCTGAGAGCCTCGCCTCCGGACCTCGGGACCTTTTGTACTTTGACTCGGTCCGCGGACTAAGTCTTGTTTTCTCTTCCCGGAGGGAGGGAGAGGTCTTGTAGACCATCTCTCAGCGGTCGTAGACTACTTTTCGTGGTCGTAGGCCACTATTCCCGTTTGGAGACTAGTTTCCGATTTTCGGAGCCGTCGGCCGTGCGCCTTGGTTCGGGACTGCTTAACATTTCTCCGTTTCGCACGTTTTTTGGAACACTTGGCTGAGAGCCTCGCCTCCGGACCTCAGGACCTTTTGTACTTTGACTCGGTCCGCGGACTAAGTCTTGTTTTCTCTTCCCAGAGGGAGGGAGAGGTCTTGTAGACCATCTCTCAGTGGTCGTAGACTACTTTTCGTGGTCGTAGGCCACTATTCCCGTTTAGAGACTAGTTTCCGGTTTTCAGAGCCGTCGGCCGTGCGCCTCGGTTCGGGACTGCTTAACATTTCTCCGTTTGGCACGTTTTTTGGAACACACCTTGTTTCCTCTGTCTAGAGGGACACTGTGGTCCGGGAGACCACTTTTTTGGTCATACACCACTTTTTGTGCTCAACAGCCAGTTTTCGACGCCCCCGGCCGCGCATCTTGCCTCCCAAACTCTCGTTTTGCATCTGTGTTGGTTCGTTTTTGGCACAAACCTTGTTTTCCTTGTTTGGAAGTGGTACAAGGGTGGGAAACCAGATTTTTTCCTTGGAGACCACTTTTCTCCCCCTTAGCTAGCTTTCTGGTCGGGAAACTGGTTTTCTTGGCCTTTGGGCCATATTTTCTGGTTTCCCACCCCACCATTAACTCGCTTTCAGTGTGGAGACCACCAATACCCTTGGCCAACCACTTTTTATCTGGGAGACCACTTGCCCAGGTCGGCCGACCAAGGAAAGTGGTCGGCCGACCACCTTTTCTTGTCGGCTAGTTTCCTCCTGTTTTGTCAGATTGTGTGGATGCCAGCTGGAAAGCATAGACTGTATCCTCCATACACGGGTATGGAGGATTTGCATCCAAGCTTTTAGCTTCTTGAGGAAGCTTTAGCTTCAAACCTCTATAAGAGAGGCCCTCCCTCTCCTTTGCACAGGTTCAGAATTTTGTTGAAGGCAAAATACATATCTCTCTCTATATCTCTATATTTTGGCTCAAAGTGTGTATTGTGCTTGACCTATTGCACCACACCTAATAGCCATACACCTCTAGCATTGATCTGAGGTTCTTGGAGGGTATTTTCAGAGGTTGAAGAGTTGGTTTTTGGTCCCCAAAACTTGCTGGTTTTGCTGAGCTTCAAGGGCAACTCCTTTTCCCTCTTTTTAAGCTCTATCTTGATCATTCTCTTAGCCATACTTGCATGCATATTTAGGCTTTGTTGTCAACTGAAAAAAGCTTCATATTTAAGTGTTTTTCATGTTTGTTTAAGGCACTTTTGGTGTTGAGGGTCATCTACCCTCTTGCATGCTCTATTTAGCCTTGTTTTGTGTCATGCCTTGAGACCTTTGTCTTGATCTTTGCTTGGCCTTTTAGCCACTGAAATCCAATGGATTTTCGGTGTTTGGCATGTGGTTTTGAGGGCCTAAATCAGAGAAGGGAGACCCTCTCTCTTTTGGCCTTGTTTGTTTGCATTTTTGGCCTTTCAAAGGAGCACATACTTTCATACTTCCAAGGCTTGGTTCAGGCCCTTTTTGGTGACTTTTGGGACCTTCCTAGACTCTGTCTATGGATGGTTTGGTCACCTTGTGTTTGCCTCTTGCATGTGTAGAATAATCCCTTTCATGGCTTATCAAAGTAACACCTCATTCTTGTATGTATTGATCATGTCTCAGTGGGTTTTTGGCCATCATTTGGCATGCCATGATTCTGCTTTTGGCTGGTTTGGTAGCCTCTCATATGCTTCATATGCTTGTAGTGTAAATCATGTTTACTAGCTTGAAATGCATGATGTTTTGGCCCTTAGCTCTGTTTTGAGGCCTCTTGGTCGAATGATGCTTGCCATGCATGCTTGTAGTGTAATAGCCTTACCTAGCTTTAGGTTTTGAGGTCCCTTGCATGCTTAACTTGAGGTATTTGCATGTTTTGGCATTATGAGGAATGTTATTTCAGAGCTTATTTCTTGGCCATATTCTCATGTTTGTCACTCTTTCAATGTGCTTGAGAGTTGCATCATTATACCCCATTTGTGAGCCATTGTATGAGCTTCATTTTTGTGCCTTTCAAGCCATCATCTTAGTTCACTTTTGCCCCTATTCTGGCCTGCATAGGGTCTGTTTGGAGTTGGTTTGGCCATTTAGGCATTGTCTTGCATGCCTATAGTGTAATACATTTCACTAGTTTCGGTGCTTGAGCCATTCAACATGCATTGTGTGAGTTGTTTACATCATTTGGAGTCATTTTGTATGCCATTTCAGAGTTGGAGCATGTGTCCTTGCACTCCATATTTCATCCTTTTCAATGCGTTTGGAAAGTTGGTTTTATGCCTTAAGCTTGGGGCCATTGCATTGGACATGTTTGCATGAGTTTTGGAGCCTTGTTTTCATCATCTTTGGCCACTGATTTGGGTGTGGCTGAGGCCAATCCATTTTGGTTTAAGTTCATTTTGCATCGAGTATGCAATTGTAGTTCAAAGCATTGAGTATGCCACGTTGTCGCATGATTGATCATTGCATTGGGCATGCCTTGTTTATCTCATTGTGTATATTAGTTCCATTTGCATTGTGTATGCTAGTGTTATGAGCATTGTGCATGCCATGTAGCTTATAGCATTGTGTATGCTAGTTGCATGTTTGCATGTTATCCCTTGCATGTTTGCATCACTTAGTTGCATTGCATTAGGATTGCATGCTAAAGTTGCATTTTTGCATGCCATGTAGCTTATAGCATTGTGTATGCTAGTTGCATGTTTGCATGTTATCCCTTGCATGTTTGCATCACCTAGTTGCATTGCATTAGGATTGCATTCTAGAGTTGCATTTGTGCATGCCATGTTTGTTGCATTGTGTTTGGGATAGGAGTTAGTCCAAACACGGGAAACGAGGGACGTCTCGTACTCAAAGTGACGAAACGTGCCTCGATTCCCGGTCGTTGACATTTTTGACTACCCATGATGGAGTTGTTGGCTTTAGGTGCTTGTATGTGCATTCATTTCACATTAAGTCGTGCAATTCGGCTCCTCGGCCATTATGCATCGAAATGCATGATTGGTGGCCCGAGGGTCGAGGACTACACTCCCTTGAGCTTATGCAATGATGGAGAGAGTGGTCATGCACACATGTGTTGCAAATACTGTGGTCGTGTACACATGTGTTGCAAATACTTCGCCGTGCATCTCTCTTTCCTTTTGTTGTAGAAAACCAGAAACCAGGAGAGGAAATTGGTCGACCGACCAGATTTACTGGCAGGCCGACCACTTTTTTTGGTTCCCACCACAAAAGGTGGTTGGTAGTTGGTCTCCCATGCCTATGAGCTGGTCGGCAGCTTTTCCACAGATTTCAAGGGTGAAGTTTCATCTCTCTGGAGCTTTGTGCAAGTGTCTGAGATCAATTGCAAACAAAGGCAAGTTAGGGCGTCGCGAGGGATTTTCGAACAAGGCAGTTCAAGCATGCATGCGTCCTTTGTCATTCAAAGTAGAGCTAAGGCAGCCCACATTCATTTAGTTTGTATGCTCATTTAGATTGCTTACTTAGTTAATGTTGTGTAATAATTAGTTGTAGCTTATTATTCATTTCATTGTGTAATAACTAGTTTAATTAGATTAGCTTAGGTTAGCTAGTTGGTTTTGTATTATTTATTCGGACCCTCCATCGAGAGGGCGAATTTTGTAATAAGTGTGCGTGTGTGTGCTGCATGTTTTCCAACCCCACGTCTTTCTCCTTTTTATTTACCAGCTTACGATGGTTAGTTTTAGGGCATGTTTCAATTAGCATCCTTATGCTTCGCATGTTTGCATTCATTCATCTGTCTTGCATGCACCGGGCTCGGCGCATCATACTAACTGCATTGTATTTCAATTCCGAGTTGAATACATGTTATCTGTAGCATCTCATATGCCATCTTAGAATAGCCGAGCCTATCTTAGTTGCATTTAGCTTGTGTTGCGTTAGCCATCTTAACATGAACTAGGATCATGCATTGATTACTAACTAGTTTATGTTTTGGCTTGGAGTACTCGGTGAGTGTTTATGCTTTAGCATCCTTGCATGTGTGTGAGTGACTGCCATGATAGCATGCTTGCCATGAGGCTAACTGCTTATGTGATATACCTGCCTGAATGCCTATGAGTGAAGGTTGGATTATTTAAATTGGAACAGTTCATCGATTGCGAGTTTTAAGCCCACTTGAGAGTGGCAAATCACCATGTTTTCTAAGCCCACTTGAGGGTGGCAAAATCCGCATTTTACCCTACTTACGAGTAGCAAACAGCTTTCAAAAACAAACATGAGATGTTTTGTTCCAACTTAGACGATCCAGTCTATACTTGTATGCTGTGCACATCACGTAG